CCCCCACCCCCACCACCACCTCGCTCAGAGAGCCAGAGGATTTATTTCTCACCTCCTTATCTCAGCAACAAAACCACCAAGCATTTAGAGAGAAGGGGGAGGGGTCGGGGGCATGCGAGGACACACGAAATTATTTAGAAAAAAAAAATCCTGATCATCCCTCATTTGCTACAGTGAAATAAAAGATCCAGTGTTTGTTCGCTCCAGAACCAGAGGAGGAGAAAAGCAACATTGTGATTGTTTTAAAAATGTGTGTTAGTGAAAATAATCMTCAACTAGAGTAATCATTAAACATTTAAAACTGATTAACTTTAAATATCTATAAACATTCCCGCTTTGACTCATTCCTCTTCTCATTATGACTTTTAACTTTAAGATAGATTCAACAAAGTCCAGCTTCTTTCATGTTTTTCTGTCATCTGAGTTGTACAGTAACTAAGTACAAATACTTTGTTACTGTACTTAAGTGGAATTTTTCACCCTACTTTTTACTTCTACTCTTTACATTTTTTAAAAAGACAAGAAGTATAAAGTCGTTACTTTTATTTTATGTTTGCTTGTTTTCATTGCAGCTTTTTATAAAAAATAAATACAATCCATATAAACTGTGCCTCCTAGATAGAGTGAATTTAAATATAAATATATAAAACTTTGATAACATATTAGTTTGTACACAAACAAATCATGTCACACTAGGGTTGGGCATAATCATATTGTGTGCAATTAATCATCAGAAAAACTTTAATCGATTACTTTTTGGCACRTGACGATTAATACGATTAATGCCACGAGGCAGAGTCCGTTCGGTGCTCCTCTGCTTCAGATATGATGAACGTAAAAAAAGTTCTGTAATTTATTTATCTATCAACACAATTTATAGTTTGATGTACAGCCTGAAGTTTGTAATTTTAACACAATTTGGAACAGTTTTTTACGAAGAGCAAATCTTTCCCACTAAACTGGTCATGTGACCAGGATATAAGGGTGTCCAGGGACTCCAGGGGATTAAATCATCAAATTAATTGTTATCGGCTAAATACCACAATTAATCGTGATTAATTTTTTGCCAATATTGCCCAATCCTATGTCACACTCCAGCAGGACATAATCATTAAAATAAAAGTACTGTACTTAAGGAGTATTTGTTTCCTTTTCAGTCATTTCACTCAGTACAACACACAGTTGTATATGGGACACGCGCCCCCTCGCGCGCCTGGCTGAATCACGTCTTTAGACCGGTGACGTGGTGACGTTGAACGTCGGGTGACAGGCTCCGCCTTCACCCTATAAGTTCGGAGTCACCAGCATCATTACTCAGTTCTATCGCCCTTCACTTCGCGATAGTCACCTCTAAACCTGAGCTCACATAGCTGCTGCTAGTTAGCTCAGCTTCTAATGTTCTTAGGCTAGCTTTACTGGTGCTAACCGCATTACCTGCTGGTTCGTGTGTCTGCCGCTCGACGCTACTTAAGTGACCTTTATTTTCTGCTGAAAATCTRTTTTGTGGTTCACGATGAGCACAAAACCACCTTCGAAGAAGCCGAAGTCTTCTGTTCGTCCCTGTCCTCAGGGGTGCGGCTTTAAGTTTCATGAGAAGGACCAGCACGAGGCCTGTCCGGCCTGCCTAGGAATCATTCACGCTCGACGGGCGCTTGTGGAGCCCGAGTCCTGCCGGGCCTGTGCCGAACTTTCGCGTCCGACACTGGAGAGGAGAGTGACATTCCTGGAGAAAATGCTGGGCAAACTGCTGTTTTCCAACAAGACCCGCTGATCTCCGAATCCTCTTGGAGTTAAAGCTCACTCCACCAGGGGTGTAGCGACATCTTGGGCCCTTTTTAAAGGGGTACCTGTGAGTGACATTTGTGCCGTGGCCAGCTGGGCCTCACCAAACACAGTTGCACGATTTTACAGCCTGGATGTAACAGCACCTTCAGTGGCTCATTCTCTACTTTCTGCCGAGTCCAAAGCTCTGCATTAGTACAGTACTTACTCATGCACACTACTTTACTCAGGTCTGATACTGCTCTGCGGGGCGCTTTGAGAAGTCCCATATACAACTGTGTGTTGTACTGAGTGAAATGACTGAAAAGGAACGTAAGGTTATGAATATAACCACGGTTCCTTGAAGGAATGGAACGAAGTACAACACCTTGTTGGCCCCGCATCACAAAGGCTCGGTGAAGGGTGGTATCTAACTGAGTAATGATGCTGGTGACTCCGAACTTATRGGGTGAAGGCGGAGCYTGTCACCCGACGTTCAACGTCACCGGTCTAAAGACGTGRTTAGAGGTGGCTTCAGCCAGGCGCGCGAGGGCGCGCGTGTCCCWTATACAACTGTGTGTTGTACTTCGTTCCATTCCTTCAAGGAACCGTGGTTATATTCATAACCTTACGATTTCATGAATTATATTATTACATTTGGCCGCAGCCCTCAGATAGATTTTCATTTTGGGGAAAAGCTTTGTGCAGCCTTGATATATGTATATAAACTGAAACAGCTGGACTAGTGCATCCTAAATTTAACATCCATTCATTCTTTTAATACAACAGTCATTTCTGCAGTTTTTGGGGAGGTCACCTCCTAATAAATGTCCTTACAGAAAACATAACTGCTCATTTTAAATCTATACTTCGACTTTTAATACTTAAGTACAAAAAATGTCAGATACTTTAAGACTTTTACTCAAGTAATATTCCTAAAGAAGACTTTAACTTTTACCAAAGTCATTTTTGGTAAAATACTTATACTTTTACTCAAGTATCACTTTGTGGTACTTTATACAACACTATATTTCATTTACTCCTTTGTTCTGGAAAAATGTGATGACTGTGACRGTCTGAGCAGCAAAAGGTCAAATGAACAGGACCAAGACTTTAGCCCTAAACAAAGACTTCTCTGACTTTTAAACTGTTTTTGTTTTAAATCAAGCTGGATGTTTGTGGTTATCTGCAGCTTCCTGACCAGCTGAACCTCAGAGTAAAGGTGGACATGACGTGATTGGATTAAACTGAAGCCAGAAGGGCTTTAATCAGAGAGAACAAGCAGACATCCTCTGATAACACCGTTCTAACCCAATAATGATAAATATTCATCACCCGACAACTGGATCCAACAAACTTTGATTTTTAGGCAAAACAAAGCCAACAATACCAAGAAGGCAAAAAGAAAAATATTTTATTCCTTCTATCTTTTCATATATTCACCTGTACGTCAAAATAAAAAGTCCGTGACCAACAAAAACCAAGCTGAAATGGAGCAAAACCGACCTGATGACAGCTTGACAAGCTGCCAAACTCTCASAACTCGTCTCTACATTCAGACAGGTCGGGGAGGACTGGAGCGACGCGACACTCAGTCACGCAGAGTAAACTTTTCTCTGCGTGTTTATAGAGTTATTACAGAGTTATTGCCATGTTAAACAGCAGAAAGCCTCTGAAGTGTTTCTCACACAGCTCCGCCTCCTGCAGCATCCTTCTGCCTTAAAAACTGAAAGCCTCGTGACGTAAAATAAACACAACAAGCACCAAGTTGAGGGAAATGATTAAATCTGAGCTCTTGAGACGTAATTAGGCTGCAGGCTTGGATTATTCAGCTTATTGCACACAAACAACCAATCAGCCGCAAAAAGAGAGCGTGCATATTATCCCTGACCCCAACCCAAACGCACACCCCGAGGGGAGATTCCTATAAGTAGCAACCCCCCCTCCCTCTTAGCATYGAGTTGCAACAATCTAAAGCTCCACTACTGAAAGACAACCAGCTAATTATGGCGTCTAGATAACTTCACCCCCTCCCATTCATTTTCCATGCTGTGTCTACATCAGTTATWCTCAACGCTACGCTACCTGACCCACTTCTTTGCCTCCATGTGCTCTCATCCAATCAAATCCTGTTTTCTTAGCCTAAAAGTGTTGAGTCGTGGTCCACAGGGGACACCACCCTGTATGATTTAGTTGTTCCTTTATTCGGATGTTAAACTACGCTTTYGTTTGTTCTCTGTTAATCAGTCATTTAAATCAGGAGAATTTAAAGTGTCTGTGASGTCAAATTTTTGTAATAAACATGAATGCAATTTTTGGAAAGATAACATTGATAACATACTGCAAAACAAATTTCACGTTGCTCAGATGAACAGTTGTTGAGATATTTGCATGAGAAGAAACAGGAAGTGATGTCAAAGGGGAATGTCAGCAAGTAAACGGAGCGTTGTTACAAAACCTAACAAAAGACTGTACAGAAGAATCTGATGTTTCTTTAGATTATTTTTAGTTGCTATCAAMGAGAAACGAAGAGTTAACTTTTAAATAATTTGTTTTAATAAACTGAGACCAGCGAGTTTATTTTATTAATATGTTCCCCTTTGATGTCACTTCCTGTTTCACTTTGGATGAGCCAAATTTAAAAGAAAATAGACCAGTCATGGGACAAAATGGGTAAAATCATGTGTACTATGCCATTTTTCTTAAGTACAGTATAAAGAGGTTTTCTTTGACTTTTTGTATTTGAAGGATAGGCATGTCACAGACACTTTAAAGTCAAGAAATGTTTAACACAGAGGACAGTGGACCTTGAGGACAGGGGTTGGACACCAGGTATTTAAAAGAATAAATAAAWCAAAATCCAAGTCGTTTACCTTGATGGKTTTAAAATAAACTGCTAGTTTAGTCTGTGTTCTAGAATAAAATGATTAAAAGTTTGACAGTGAAAGCATACCTCTATGTTAAAACTCTGTAATCCTGTCAGTTCCTTCTCTTTAGAGCTCCGTTCTGTGGGACAGATGGCTTCCATCTGGGGTCTGTCTTCCTGAGGACCCCATGCCTGTACCTGGCTCAGCTCTGGCTGGCTGAACAGGCTCTGCAAGAGGCCCGGCTCCAGTTGGTCCCAGACCTGGTCGCTGGACACGACGGGAGGAAACTCCAAAGCGGAACTATCTGACTCCCAGTCGCTGTCGCCAGTCATGGAGCCCAGAACGAATTCAACCCCCTCCAACCCGGACTGGGTCCCCTCAGAGTACGAGTCCAGGTCGAGCTCCTGGGCGTCCTCACAGGTGGAGCCGAACTCGGACGGCCCCGGCTGGGGCCGCTCGGGCGCTGCCATGTACACAAAGCTGTCGGAGAAAACGATGGAGCCATCCTCAGAGTCCTCCGGGTCGTGGCAGCGGGCCGGTTTGGGGACAGGACTGGGAGGGATGGAGTCTCCGACTGGAGAGGGGGGACAGCCACTGAGGTACTGAGGAGGCACAGATACAGCCAGGTAAACGAAACTATCCGACGTCACGAAGGCCTCTGAGTCTGCAGGGTCCAAACCTGCGCCACTAGAGTCAGACTTGGCCTGAGATGAGAAGGAAGACGGTGCTGGTTCTGTGTGCTGAGGCAGAACCAAGTCTGGTTTAGGGGTGCTAATTATTATTCTAGTTTCTGGACTCTGGGCATGTTCAGCCTTGTACAAACCAGAAGCTAAGTCCTCAGACACACACTGAGTTCCTCCTGTGTCCGACGTTATTTTCATGCAAACGTTTGGCTCTTCTTGAGCATCAACATCCTGGGTACATTCACTGTCGGTTTGTTTTTCAGCCCAGAGCTGAGGATCCAGGGAGTCGTCTTGAATGCTGTCCAAACTCGGCACAGATTGGTCACAGACATCCAACTCCTCATCCTCTTTCACTCCCCCTTCATCCTCCTCCTCCTCAGCGTATGGGTTTAGAGGGCTCCGAGATGCAGAAGACGAGGCCTCTTCATCGGGTTCCGATGACGCCCCGCTGTCCAGGTCCGTCTCAGTCTGTGGAGGTCTCTCCAGCTCAGAATCTGTTGCAGTTCGGTCTGGCTGGGAGAGCTGGACTCCGCTGGAATCTGACTCCAGCTGTTGACCAATAGCAGAGTCTGTTGGGTAACTAATCTCCTCTTCATCYATCTTTTTCTTATCCTCATCAAAGTCACATTCTTCATCAATGAAACCGTGTTCGTTCTCATGGTCCTTAAAGTCCGGGTTTCTGAGTTCTTCTATGTGCTCAGGCTGGTTTAAAGCTTCTGGTGTCATAAAGTTCAAATCAACACTTTTAAAGTTAACTGCATCTAGAGGAAGAGTTCCTTTGTAATCCGTCTCTACAGACTCTTCTTCTCGCTCCTCCTCCTCCTCCTCCTCCTCCTCCTCTTCCTCTAAACAAGGAAGTGTGTAAGGATCACAGAGAGGCTCGGGGTCGACACTCATCTCCAGCCCCTCCACTCCCTCCTCACACTGCCTTTCCAGCTCCAGGAAGAGGTCAACTGACTCTGCACCTGAGCTGGGACAGGGTGAGGCGCTGGGGGCCCTGGGGCCACCAAAACCCGAGGGGGGGGTCAACAGGGGCCAATGTCCCGATGAGCCAGATAAATCCCATGTCTGTGACTCCAATGTTTCCCTGTCCCAGGACCGCTCGAACCTCTCTCTGTTCTCCAATTTAAGGACTGCCTCCCACTCCCGCTCCTCTCTCTGAGCTCTCTCCTCTTCGGCTAAATCTCGTTTTCTTTTCCACTCCTCCTCCTCTTCCTCCTCTTTCTCTTCCTCGAGCTCCTGAAGAATCCGTCGCTCGTCCTCCTCAAATTTGATTTCAGAAGCTGTGCGTTCTCTGAGATCACTCCATCCAAGCAGCCCCTCTTCATCCCCTTCATGACTGATACAGGGGGACAGCGGCAGCCCCCCGTACACCAACCCCTCTTCCTCCTTCAGGAAAGGCGACGGGGGGTCTAACAAATAAACCGACTCTTCATCTGTGCTGTTATCCTCGCCCAACAGGGGAGGCAGAGGGGGCAGTATGGGAAAGTTGTGTCTCAGGCTGACCTGGGTCTTCTTTCCTGTTGTTATACTCCGAGGCCAGGTCCGGGCCTTGGTTGGGGGGCAGAAGACAGGTTTAGGAGGGATGAGGGGGGCGTTATCTCCCGGGTTCTGGTCCAAAAGAGGAGAATCTCTTTCTGAATCAGAGTTCTTTATGGCCTCAAAGGTATCCTCTGAGATGTGCCTGATTGGAGCTTTAGAGGAGCTCGCAGTCCGGCGGTGCTCGTCCCGTTTCACGTTTACCTGCCAATCCTTGGAGGGGCTTTGCTGCGGAGTGTTCCCAGATGCTCTGAGAGCCGGAGTCTGTCCGACGGCAGGTAACRGATCCTTTGTAGGAGATGGCAGCGCAGGTGTTGGTTTCAGCTGCTTCTGCAGTAAAGGATTAACCTGCTTCAGCCTGCTGAGAGGATGCTGCTGGGGGCTAACTGTGGGCGTCAGAGCGGGCGAGGTGGAGATGGGTGGCGTGTGCGGCGCAGACGACATGGGGGAGGGAGTATGAGGCGGTAGGGAAGGCGTGGAGGCTGCCGGGGTGGTTTGGGAGGGAACGGGTTGTAGAGGAGAAAGAGGATTCCCCGGTCCCGATGAACGCTTCTCCGCTCCGTCAACTGATGAAAACTCAAGTCTTTCTGCAAACTCTGGAAAACTTGGGGGGAAAAAAGCTTTCCAAGACCGCCGGTTCAGATTGTCCTTCTTATCTCCACCTTGATGCCGCCTCTTGGCCACTGCAACCACTCCACCAGCTCCAGATGAGGACGGAGCAATGGGCAGACTTGAACCAACGACCGGTGGCGACATGATCGGAGCATCGCCGGTCAGCTTCAAGGCATCAAAGATCACCCTTTCGTCTAGTTTCTTTGCACCGCCGGCGTGATCTGCGCTCCTGGAAACAAAAACACTCCCCAGATCAGCGCCAATGGTGCCATTACTGGATATGGTCCTTTCTTCTCCTCGTACCTCCCCACCAGAGCCCAAAGTGCTCCTCGAGGGTTGGCACAGTTTGGTCCCTTGGTCTATTTGTTCGTTGATGCGCATGGTGTCGTAAATGGATCGCTGCGGGACGTAGCAGTCCTCGATGTACGTCTCATCCTCGTCACCCTTTCCGAGGCAGCGAGGGCTCTGCCTCAGACAGTCGGGACGGCTCAAAGGTTTCCCCATTTTATGATTTAAAACTGAAACCAGTGCAGAGAAAACGAGTCCTTCACTTCTAACTGTCCAAATAATCAAAACTAGATTCAGTCCATGTGGCCGCAGCGAATAAACCCTTCAGGTTTCACATCCTCCGTTTCGTTTGGACTATGTTACTTCAACAGCCGAGCATTTTCTTGGTCTTTCAAAGATGCTGAGTGGCATCAACGAGGGAACCAGGATGACAGCCCTCCCACTCGGCACCATATTAATCAGCAGGGCTGTTTGTTTTAAAGGCTGGCTGGAATGAGATAAGTGGAGGGATGAGCACATGGAGGATGGAAAGCAGTAGTCACCGTCTCCATGTCTGAGGAGCTCAGCGTGGGGGGAGAGYGTCAAACCGATAACATTCCTTTGTTTTGCTGTCAGAAATCCAACTTGTTCCTCTTTTCCTCCTCGAGTTCCTTCCTTCCTTTCTGGTCCTCGCTGTGGCTCAACAGGAAGAGGCAGAGAGGGCTCAAACAACTTTAACAGTTGCAGTGAGAGGCAGGCAGAGAAGYGTAAAACTCTCCTTTTAAGGTGAGAAAAACCCACTCGCAGTTATATAAAAGAAAAGCTGCGTGGGGTGCGATGAATAGAAAAGTAGAACCATCCACTGCTACTTTTCTCTCCTGATGTCCCAAATATTTCAGACAGTTTAAAAAACAAAAGAATCTTTTTGTGAGAAATATAAAAACTCCTTTACCACAACCATTTTGTGGTTCGGTCCAGGGTTTTTCTTCTTTTTTTGTTCAAAACTTCCATCATCGTAGCAACCGTTAGATCCAGTCTGTCCGAGCAGCTGAACAATATTTGAAGGAAAATCCAAACAAAGAGTTCAAGAAATCCCCATCAGTGCTTCTCTTCTCTTTCCTCTCATCTGAAGCTGCAGGGGAGAGGAGGTACAGTAGATCCAACACGAGCTGGCTCCTGGAGGCGCTGAGGCTGGAGTGAAAGGAGGCGTCGGGGGGTAGATAGACAAAATAGGGGGGCTGGGGAGGGGTGGAGGACCAGCCAGGCGAGCAGAGAGTGTCGTGGGACCGTATCCAGAGGGCAAAGTCCCAGACGAACCCTGCAGCTCCGGTTCAAGCTCAGCTCTGCTGATTAACCGGCAGACGATCCTCGCTCCCCGACTCCTCCACACTGAGACAAAGTGCCACGCAGCTTCTCCTCTGTGAAACGTTTGCTTTCTTTTCTCTCCCAGCTCTCAGGCCACAACACAGCTAAAATGGTTTGCAGCTGCTAAAAAAATCCCTCCTTTCCTCTGACTCTCCTGCTGCTCCCCCCGTCATCCCCCTCTCTCTCTCTCTACGTCCCTCCCCCTGCTCGCTTGCTGTTTGTGTTTGAATTCAGCTCCGTTTGTTCTGTTTCCTGCACTGGTATTAAAACACAGGAAGTGCTCCAATCAGGCTGCTTTCCACCACGCCGGGAATAAAAACAAAACAAGAAAAGAAAGAGGGAGGAAGAGAAACTGTGCCAAAAGAGAAAGGGAGTGGAGAGGAGGAATTAGCTGAGCACTGCGATGCAGATGATGATCCCACGCTGGGCTCAAATTAAATTACTTTTTATTTGAAATGTAACAAATTAAGATGCTTTAATGTCTTATTTTTATCAGGAAGTCCCTCAGAACTGGAGAGAAAGAGACGGTTTGTAATCCGGGTTTAAAACCTCCTCCTCCTCTCTGGAGCACAAAGATCCAGTCTGCAGAGAGTCAAGTGATACAGAGTCCAAAAAGAAGGGGGTGGGTCTGAAGGTGTCTCTTTTTCCTCCTGAGGCAACGGTCCAGGCAGACAAAGAGTTCAGTCCAAGTTTTTATTTTTATTTGCTCCTCTGGCAGAGTTCTTCCTGGGTTCGAATCATATCTTCAATCCAAGAGAGGAGAAAAGAAATGTGGGAAAGACGACACAGTTGTGCATTCCCGTCTGAGCCTTCTGAAGCCCAACCCTGCCGAGGAGCGTGTGTGAAGGAGGGTGACTCACAAACACCAGAAAAAAGAGGGGGATACCGGCAAACATGGCAACCTGCAGCCCCACCAACTCGTTTCTCCTGGTCCAAACTTTGTCTGGTTTCTCCTCATCCTCTGCTCCCTCTCTCTTTAAGGAGAACCCGTGTCCTGCATGTCAAACGTGTTGAATACTCCCGTCTTTCTTTACGAAGCGCCCTCCTGCCTCCGCTCACCCCCCTCCACGACTCTGTCAGTTGTGCTGCAGCTGTCACTGTTGAGTCCGGCCGAGGCAAACGTCTTCGTGGAAACAAAAAGTGTTTGTCACCGTGCTGCCACACACACACACACACACAAGGAGCTCGCAAACTCTCGCGTGAACCGCTCTAACCGACTGTGCAGAAACCACAACAAACCAATATTCAAATCCAGATGTGGGTCGGTTCACAGATCAGGAACAGAGGAAGAGGAGAAAACGCYGAACCTGCTCAGGTTTTTTTTAAAGGTGTCTCCACAAACATCTGTCGGAGCTTTAATTTAAACTCTGTGGATCCAGCTGGGTTTCCTGCCTTTAAYGGGACTTTTTCTTTCTTTTCAAACTTTTTAAAGCCAGCTGAAGAGTTGTTTGGAGACGATAAAAATAAAAAATGAAGCAGGATCCTGTTTATTTTATAAACAATCCTCAAACAGATTTAGATCAACCTGATGTTTTAATTTTAATCCTATAAACTTAAAATACTTTATAAACCATCACATCTTCTCAGCTCAAACTGAAGCGGAGAAAAGCTCCTGTTACAGAAAACAGGTCCAACATTCTTTAGCTCTTTTTAGATTCAGTTTTTCTAACTTGGGACCGAGCTAGATTCTTCTAATTTAAGCTTTAAGCTACAATTTAGCTAGTTTTAGTTTATAACTAGTGTTCTGGCCTTTAAGCTTCTAGTTAGTTATTAATTTTAGCAGTTAGCTGCTAATTTGCTGGTTTTAGCTTTTAATTACAGTTCTTTTCACTTTAGCTCACACCTGGCTTGTTTTAGCTCAGGCTTAGCTAATTTTAGCTTGTACTCGCCTAATTCAGCTTGTGTTCTGCTCAATTTAGCTTGTACCTGATTCCTTTTGGCTTGTACTCTGCCCATTTAGGTTGTGTTTTGCTCATTTTAGCTTGTACATGGCTCATTTTAGCTCATGTTCTTTACATTTTAGCTTTTACCTGGCTCATTTTAACTTGTACATTGGTTCATTTTAGTTTGTCCCTGGCTCATCTTAGCTTGTATCAGACTCATTTTAGCTTGTACCTGACTCATTTTAGCTTGTACCTGACTCATTTTAGCTTGTACCTGACTCATTTTAGCTTGTACCTGACTCATTTTAGCTTGTACCTGACTCATTTTA